TCTGTCTCATATACACATGTTGTTATCTCATACCCATTTTAGTCATCTGGTCACAAGCCTTGAGGATGCTGATTGGGGCAGTTTGGGTGACCTAGAAAGTCTCATTTATCTATGAAATATTTGGAGATTAATGCAGAATGGCCCTAGAGAAAGTTTCCAGTAACCTTAAGCAGACCTTATCTCTGCCCTCCCATTTAAACTTCTGTGCAAAGATCATGGAAAGAAACTGCAGCTACATGCCTTAACTGTATGGAATTTGGTTGAAGATCGTATTCCTTAAAAAGTTTTTATTTTCTTTTTTTTCCCTAGTGAGTTGGGGAGATGAGAGGGAGAAATGGACTACAGAGAGATTGATAAAAACAAAAAAAAAGGGGAAAGTCATTAAAGTATTTTTTAAAATGTGTGTGTGTGGGTGTGTGCAGGTGTATGAGTATGCACATGTGCATGTGTGGCTATCTATGAGAAAACATCCAGCCTAGACTTTGGCTTCTCTGCACCAGAGGGCAAGGCAAACCCTCTCTGACACAATTGAACTCATACACAGCCAAAGGTTCCCAAACTTATTTGACCTACCTCCCACTTTAAAAAAAAAGATTACTTAGTGCCCCCATGGAAATCTACATTCTTTGACCCTTTAATTTTTTTTATTTGTGTCATTCAAAAAAAAGCATGTTTTTTTAAAATAAAACATCTTGAATTTAATAATTTATTGTAAATTTGTGGGGTTTTTCCTGCATTGAAATTTTGATTACACGATATTGCTTCATGTAACTGTATAGTATTGTATTGTAAAAAAGTAATTACACACACATATTCCTGCTGATGCATGCTGGACTTCCCAAAAATGCACAACAAGCTTGCCTGCCAACACTTGCTTGTTAAGACCTGTTGGGGGACTTGACCACTGATCAATTATAACTTGTGTTTTGTGTGTTTATGTGGAAGATAACGTAATTACTACAATTTTAACTCCGCTACCTAACAGATGAAACAGGTACGAATGGTTTTTCAAAATTTTCTTCTCTTCCCTTCTTTCCTTATGCTTCCACTGTCTTGTTTATATTTAACACCCACCAATTGCACACAAGGCTACTACAGCCTTGGATCATTCCAGCACCACCCCCCAGGCATCAGTATTGACCCCTTTGGGAACCGATGACTTAGACCTATTGGACATGAGTTCCTCTGTTTCACAAGTTGCTTGCTTTCTCCACAAACTCATATTCTAACCCTGGAGGCTATGACTTCCATGAGCAAAGAACCAGAGGACTATGAGACCTTCCAGGGGCTTAAACAAGTTACCTACAGCATCTAGGCCTGCCAGGACTGCTGCCTTGCCTAGGGAAAGAGGCTGGGGGTGGGAGGTTGGTGGCCACAGCCAAGTACACTCAAATAAGAAAAAAAAACTCCCATTCATTTTTCCCCAATGTCCCTCTAATATCAGAATGTGTGCAGCAGCAATTGCCTGAGAAAAATTGGTGTTGGACTAATTCAGTCATTGAGTCTTCAAGTCTCACCCTGTGGGCAGTGCCCTGATTGCCACCAATATGCAATTATGTGCCCCTAGTTTGTGATTACATGCTCCTGTGCAAGTAATTGTGTCTGTATGTGGTTTGTTTGTTGTTGTTTTTTTTTTTTTATCATTCTAGTTGTGGCTCAGTGCATTGATGTGACTATAGAAGCCACTAGTCACCAAGGTGAAGGAGGGAAAACTCAATAGATAGGGTCTTTTTTTTTTTTTTTTGCTTTTGTTGTTGCTAGTGATTACTTCCCCAATTTTTTTTTTACTCTGAACTTGACAAACAACAAATAAAATCAGCATTTCCATAGCCAAAGTAAAACAGGACAAGAATTAAACATAAAATCACAAATACCTCTTAAGTATAATTTGCTTTTCCTTTTAAGTATCTAATAGATCTAACTTAAATATACAATAATGTGTAATTTTAAAAACTGTCCTGATTTTCTGTGTTTCCTTCTGGCCCTCTTTTTGTTCATTTTAAAAAATACTTTAATGACCTCCCCCCTTTATTTTTGTTTTTATCAATCTCTCTGTAGTCCATTTCTCCCTCTCATCTCCCCAACTCACTAGGGAAAAAAAGGAAAATAAAAACTTTTTAAGGAATATGATCTTCAACCAAATTCCATACAGTTAAGGCATGTAGCTGCAGTTTCTTTCCATGATCTTCGCACAGAAGTTTAATATACCCTACAATGCACCATGCATACATACACAGAGTCAGACACAACATATACCCCAAGGGCTGTCCTCCTTCACCGACCCCCTCCTCCCTTCTCTGTCACTGTGGTTTTGAAGAAGCATTTGTGGAGTTTGCTGAAGGATATCATGGTAGAGTTTGATAATGGGCCCTAGGAGGAGCTCTGGCTTTAGGAAATGAGCCTCATCCACAGATGTAAAGATGTTGTATTTCCAGGACACATAGACCAAAATGGATGTATTTTAGCTGATGAGCCAGAATATCGTGAACCTTTTCTGTGGTGATCTGTGTCCACTGTCCCTTGTGTCCTACTCTCGGGTATTCAAACTGCGTTAAGGGCCAGCAGCAAGGCCAGCTGAATGACAGTCATTCTCTTGACTGAGGTTGAACATCTGAGGGTATAAGCCCTTGGGATCTCTTTACTTCCTCTACCCATTGCCATCCAGGAGCTCTTGTGCTCTCTGGGTGAGTGTCTGATTTAGATGATAAAAGCTAAATACCTGGGTAGAAGAAGAAGATAAGTTCCAGTTGAGAAGTATGAATATGAATATTTGGTTAATGTTGGCAACCTCTGGGACTGAGAGCATTGAACACTTTCTTTGTGTCGTAGTCTAAAAGGAGGTGTGTGTGTGTGTGTGTGTGTGTGTGTGTGTGTGAGAGCCTATCTGTAGTTCTTTGTGTCTGAGTGTGGGAACAGATGCTCTGAGGTCCTCTTGGTTTCTTAGGGTTCTCACCTGCAGTCTAAGGGATGTTGGGAGATTTTTTTTCTCACCAATGAGTTCTCCTCATTGCACTACCCCACTCACAATGTCTCCCCATGACCTCATGCTTTCAGTGACTTCTCATTGCTGACCCTCTGCCCCTTCACTGACCCAGTCCTTTTCTTAATCCAAAACTCTGACTTACTCCCTTCTCCAAGTAACCTCATCTGCCCAGGTGATCTTATCCTCCCACTGATGACCCTATTTCCCTATTCAAATCTTTTTTTTTTCCTTTGCTCTAAAAGTCAGCTGTCCATCTCTTTCCTTTCTGTGTAGTATTCTTCTGTTTTCCAACCTCCTGATAAGGAGACTTTCCTAAGTCTCACATATTTAAATGTTCAAGAAGTTATAGATATTTTAAAGAGGATTCTTACATCAGATAGGCAATTGGACTTTGAAGTTCCTTCTAGCTTTGAGATTCTATGACTGTACCTCTGTTTTGCCTATCCTTCATGCCCAACTTATTGGTCTTGACCTTATAGCCTATGTCTCTAGCTCCTGGTCCTAGTTTAACCAAGCTTGGCCCTGCCATTATGTTCAGACCCTGGTCTCTATCCTATCCCATGGTTTTATCTGGGTTATTGGTCCCCATTGTCCCTGGCTGTGGCTGTGACATCTATGGGTCTATCTATCTGCCTCTGGGTTGGTTGCTTGGTGTCTATGACTTCTCATTCACTGGGGCTGTGGGTGCTAATGGACTTCAGAGGCAGATGGATTGAGGATGATTTAAACTTAAACTTTCATGACCAGTTCCCACTATGCCCTTATAGAAAGGATAAGCAAGTATCCAGGGGTTGAAAAAGGGAGCAAGGGCTAAGACAGAATGGGTCAGTATGACACTGACTTAAAGAGGACAAGCATTTTGGAAGGGAGCAGTCATTGTCTGGGGAAACCAGGACAGCCCTGAAACTCTAGTGGGGTCGAGGAGCTGGGTGATTGGGTGTGGGTGAAGGTGGGTCTCTAGGCAAGGTCTTCTTGGGATTGGGGGAATGAAGGAAGTGAGAGATGGAAGGAGATTTGAAGGAACTGGAAATGAAGGGGAGAAAGAGAGATAGTAAAAGAGCAGGGACACAGGAATATAGACATGGGGGGGAGAGAGGCATGAGGGAGGAAGACAGACAGATAGAGAAGGGAAATGAGAAACACCTTAAAAAAGAGGTCTAGGGAGGACTAGGGTAGGAGCTAGGATGAGGAGATGGTGGAAATAGAACTTCGAGAGGAGCTAAGTGAGACTGTGTTGGGACCTAGACAGAGGTCTTTAGGACTGAAAAAGGAGCCTCAGAGGGAGATGAACCTGGAGTTGGGTTTTGTGTCTTTGGTCCTTGTGTTACTCTCCTGAAAAGGGTTCAGGCCGAGCTCTGCTCATGCATCAGGAGGGAAAGAGCTTTGGCACCCTCCGGAGGCTGCGATTGGAGTATGTGGTACTCAGAATTGTCCTGCAGGAGAGGAGTTAGATGGGAGGAAAAAGATGAAGGGTGGGGTAGTGCGTATGTATAAGAGCCTGGTTAGTTCTCACAAAATGGGCCTTGGTCCATGGAAATGTGATAGTGAGTATTACACAAGGTGACTCATAATGACATGCAGAGACACTCTGAGTCACATCTCAGTGATACACAATCACATCCAGTAATATCCAGAAAGTTGTACAGTGTGATGTAGCCTACTCAATAGTATGCCATAATTATAGTCATACAAAATGACACACAATTATAGTTAAGCACAATTGCACCACAACACACAATTACAATAGATGCATAATCACAGAATTTTATAAGCTGGGTTTATAAACCTTAGAGATTATCTGATTATACCCTTTTTGCAAATGGGAAAATTGAGGATGAGAATAATTTGGCTAAGGTCACATAATTAGTAAGGAGAAAAGCTGGGGCCTGTACTCTAGTCTGGGGCTTGAACTCCAATTCCAGTATTTCCCAAACCTTCCCACAGTCATGCAGTAGCACACACTTCATATACTCAATACCTCATGCAATTACACAGTCACAAATAGATTTGAGGTGCATTTGCTTTATTAGAATCATCAGCGTCTATGATCATCCCTGCTGGGTAGTGTCTTGTGGCCTAGGATCTCTACAGGAGCTGAGCTGGATCCAGAGTAGGTATGAGGTGAGCAGAATTGGCAGTAACTGGGTATGTTGTCCAGAGGAAACCCAGGGGTTCATTATTCATGCTAAAAGAAGGGTGTTTTTAGGCTTTCCAAGCATTCCTGACTTAGGCTGATGCTTATCTGGGGAGAGAGAAAAGATAGGATATAAACCAGAGTCAAGGAGGGGCTTTGAGAATGGTGCTATGCCCCACCCCCAGCTTATCCCCCAAATGTGAACCCTGTGAAAATGTTCTGCCCTCTGGGCTGCAGGTTGGAGTGTAGAAGGGAATAGGACTTACCCCTTACCATCTGGACTAGGGGTGGGGAGAATATGGCTTCTGGGTTAAGATCTTGTTTATGTGGGGGTGAAGCCTTATGTGACAGGGCTGATGGTGGGTAGGGACAAGGTTCCTGGGATTCTCTTTGCGGTGGAATTTCCTTGTAACCACATGAATGGTGTTTAGTCTGGAGTCTGGCCTCCCCCGTCCCCCTCCTCTCAGCCCCAACTGTGGCTGCTTCTTTTTCTAGGCCTCCAAGATCATTGCTGGGATGAATCCCAGAGATCTCAGGGTGAGGGGGTGGAGGTTGGTGGGCTGGGATGGACAGGGTCAAGGAGGAAAGAAGAGGCCAATAAGCCCTGGAAACCTGTAGGAGGGGCCGTGGCTGATTCCCTTTATCTCTGTTGTCTCTGCTTTTTGTTGTCTCCATTTGAGGCAAATCCTATACTTCCTTAGAAGACACATGCCCTATGCAGGTCATTGTGCATGCGTGACATATGTCAATTGTGTCAGGGTGGGAGTGTGGCACTGAAGGAAGTCTGGCCACTCGGAGCTGAGGGGAAGGAAGGGAACTTTTCTTACCAGGAATGATGCATCCAGGAATGTTGATTTCAAGGGACTTTCTTGATAACACTCCTGTATCTTTTTGAAGGCTTGAATCTCAGCTGTAGTAGGGTTATATTTTAAGAGGTCCAGTTCTAGCAGCTCAGGACTCCTTGAGGCCAGGACAGCGAAAGTGGTATAAAATCCAAGGCAGCCTTCAGCTATAAACACAAACAGGAAGCATCCACGGTTAGGATGTAACTGGAAACCCATCCTCAGAAGTGGTCTGAGGATCAGGGGGCCACAGGAGGTCTTTCGTATGTCCACAACCCCTTGATCCTACCCACGGAGCTGTGATTCTTTACCCAGAGACTCCTTTTCATTTGGATTGTCTGTATGTCCCCAAAAACCTTTCATATAGTAGTGAAATGGGATTGGAGTCAGAAGACTTGAATGTGAACCTGGCTTCCAGACTCATCACTCAACTGAAAGTCCTCTCTGCAAGGTCACCAGTGATCTCTCAAATTGCAAGATCCTTTGGTCTCTATCTTGCCCTCTCTGGAGCATTTAGCACGCTCTCACTTATTCTCTCTGGATATTCTGTCCTCTCTGAATTTGCATGACATGGGTCTCTCTTGGTTATCCTCCTATCTTTCTGACTGCTCCTTCTCTCTCTCCTTTGCCGGTTCATCATCCATATCATGCTCACTACCTGAATTTGTCCTCGACCCTCTTTTCTTTTCTCTTTATGGTCTCTCACTCGATGATCTCATCTACTTCCATGGGTTCCACATGCAGATGAATCTATGCAGATAACTCCCAAATCTATCTCTCTAACCCTAATTTCTCTCGAGCTTCTGTTACAGATCTCCAACTGACTACTAGAAATGTCCAACTGGCTGCATTTCAAACTTAACATCTCCAAACACTTTTCTCTCGCTGCCCCCCACCCCTCCTGATCTTCCAAACTTCCCTATTTATGTTGAGAATAGCACTATCCCTTTGGTCACTTAGATTTGTGACTTCATCATTGTCCTTGATGACTTGTTCTCACTCACTCCAAATATTCAATTAGTTTCTAAATCTTGTTGTTTCCACTCCCAACATCCGTTGCATCTGAGCCATTTTCTCAATTCATACATTTGTCACCTTGATTCAAGCCTCATGACCTCTTTTTTGGACTATTGCAATGGGCTCCTACTTGGTCTCCCAGCTTCAAGTCTCTCCCCATTTCAATCTATCCTCCATATAGCTAATAAATTGATTTTCCTAATGCATGGCAGCTATCGTGTCACTTTTCTACTCAGTCAGGCAATAAGCATCTATTACTCAACAAACCACAGTGGCCCCCCTATTGCTTTTAGGATCAATTATAAATTCATTTGACTTTTAAAGTCCTTTATAAGCTGGCCTCAACCTCTCTTTCCAATCGTTCTTCCCTTTCTTGCACTCCAACGCCCAGTCAGACTGTTCTTCTTCTTGACCTTACATCTCTATATCCTGGCACTTGTTACTTTTGTAATATCTTAATATCAATCTTTGTACTGTACTTGTTACTTATTTTGTTCATACCTTGTATATCCTTGTATATGTACATATTGTCTCCCCCCTGCCCCAAGAAAGAAGAGAGGAAAAAATAGAATGTAAGCAGAGACTTAGAATGAAGGCAGGGACTATCTCAATTCTGTGCTTGTATGTCCAGCAGTGTCTGGTCCACAGTAAATGCTTAATGAATGTGTGTTGATTGACTGATCTTTAGGGTGAGGTGAGAGGCAGTGGAAAGAGCTCTAGCTCTGGAATCAGAAGACCTGAATTCAAATCCGAGTTCTACTACTTATTACCTCTATGACTTTTGGCAAGTTATCTAACTGTTCTGGGCCTCAGTTTCCTCATCTGTAAAATGAAGTGGTAGATGAAAAGGCCTCTAAGATTCCTTCCAATTCTAGATCTATGATCCTGTGACAAAAATTCCCTTCCTTTCCTTTCCCTTCTAGTTTGTCATTTATGTCACACTTTCAGGTAAAATGAAGGTGTCCTCCAGGGGAACCTTCCTATGATAGAATCCACTGATGGAGGGACTGGCACAGTGGATATAGTGCTGGGCCTGGAATCAGGAAGACTCTTCTTCATGAGTTCAAATCCAGCTTCAGGCACTTACTGGATGTGTGACCCAGACAAGTCACTTTGCCTCAGTTTTCTCATCTGTAAAATGAGATGGAGAAGGAAATGACAAACTCCAGCATCTTTGCCAAGAAAAACCCCAAATGGGGTCATGGAAAGTTGGACATGACTGAACAACAACAACTGGGATGGAAGAAGGGGATGGAGATCTAAGCATTCTCAAAGGCAGATATAAGGTACAGACATAGATGCACCTTCTGCCCTTCATGCCTCACCACATCCCTGGATTATCCTGAGACAAAATGATTGAATTAGCATTCTTTGTTGACCCCTCCCGTGGTCCTCAGCTAACTTTAGTCCCATAGATGCACAGCACCCTCGGGCTTCCCCAGCTGCTCAGAACCTCCTATTCTGTCTCTTCTCACCAAGAAACTATCTCTGACCCAGAGCAGCTGCTTTAATGGAAATAGCATTGGATTTGGAGTCAGATGACCTCAATGAGAAGCAGCATTGCCGATGTGACTTCTGGCAAGGTGTTTCGCCTCTCTTGGGGTTGTGCTAGATGATCTCTGAGGCCCCTTCAAGTTTTAAATCTATGATCCTCAGATCCTTTCCTCAACCACCACAAAAAAAGATCACTTATACAAAGGTGTGAAGAGATGATGAGGGCTCAAAGTATTACCCTTACCGAGAGTTTTATACTTTTTAAAAGAGTTGCTAACTATACAATTTTTTTTTTTCTGAGTGGGATGGAGGCTTAGTGGGGCTTCTTGGAATTCCTCAAGGACTTTCAAGGAGGGTCTGGAAGTCAGGCGTTTGTGTGTGTGTGTGTGAGAGAGAGAGAGAGAGAGAGAGAGAGAGAGCTTGGGGTAACCCTCCCCCTCATCCCAGAGGTCTCACCATACTGGCTGCACAGGGCCAGGACCAGCAGCAGGGAAAAGGTGGCAACTGTAATCTTCATGGTACCTCCCTCTAACCCTTCAGCTGAAGACTTGAGCTCACCTTGGATTGCAATCAGTTTATATGAGATTTGCTCCTCCCTTCATCCTTCCTTGTCTTGCACAGCCCTACCAAAGGAGGACTGCAGAGGGAGGGCGGGGCTGACTGTGGAGAAGGGAGAAGAGAGGGAAGGAAAAAAGGTTTCTCCTTTTCTGTGGTTCTACCTAGTTCCAAGTTAGCATTTGCTGTCCAATTTCAAAGTTTGGTGCCAATGTCCTATCAATGAACATATAATCAAGAATGAGACAAATCCTTGGTAGTCAGCAAGACTCAGGCCTTTTGGACCTAGGCAGGTGTGCCTAGCTTCATTCCTCCTTGCCACCAGGGAATCTGGGCCTGGTCAGACACCTAGAGGCTGGTGTATCCAGGTCCTAACCTGTCTACCCCATCTTTTTCACCTCTCCCAAGCTAACCTCACCTAGGACTCTTTCTCAGGGAGTCAGTGAGGCGCAATGTTAGGCTAAATCTCCACATCTATCATGATCTGCATCAATGGTGTCAAACTCAAATAGAAACCTAGAAAACCATAAATTAACAATACCTGCATTTTATTGTGATTTTATTTGTTTTGCTAAACATTTACCAATTATATTTTAATCTGGTTTAGCCTATGCTCAGGAGTGTTGCCTTTGAGTATATTTGACACCTCTGAGATTCTGAATAATTCATCCCCAAAGTTTGCTTCAGCCCAAATTACCCTTATGCTTCCCATCTTCATTGCCTGAAATCACTGGGTAACTTTCAATCTTCCACTGGCTCTGAGCTAGGTAGACATAGTATTATAGGGTTTCTAGGCCAACAGGTTGTCAGATCCCTAGATAATTTAGGTTCCAGCTATAATATATGCTTATCACCTTTCTGTTTATTGCCCCATAGTCCTGGTGACACTTCTTCTTTTCCTACTCCCTAGAGGTGGCTGGTTGCATAGTGGATAGACCACTGGGTCTGGAATCAGGATGATTTGAATTCAAATCATATCTCAGATATTTCCTAGTTGTGTGACTCTGGGCAACCCACATAACTTCTCTCTGCTAGACAAATGAGACAATATTTGTAAAAAGTCTTAGCACAGTGCCTGGCACATTGTAGGTGTTACATAAATGCTATTTCCTTCTATTACTAGCTGGCATTTATTTAGTACTTTACATATGTTACCTGATTTGCCAGAGAGGTGCAGTGTGTGCCTGAGTTTTATGCAGATTACCAACTCCTTTGTAATTCATTGTCTTGGAGAGTTGCCCACAGCAAAGAGAAGTCAAGCCACTTACTGATGGTCACATTGCTTATATGTGTCAAAGGCAGGATTTGAGCTCAGGTTTTCCTGACTCTTAGACCAACTTTCTATCCACTATGCCATATTGCCTCTTGATTATGATGATGATAAATGACCAAACAAGTGCACATTGGTTTAGGACAAGTGAATAGTTAGCTCCTTCTATCCCTAGGAAAACTTACCTCGGTCAGGGCCTAACTAGCCAAGAGCTGCTGGCCTGGGGACCTTCAAGCCTGGGCATCTGAGAAGTCCCTTTCTCAATCTCCCATAGATCCTGTAGAGTATATGGAAAGAGCCCTTCCACAAGTTGATCAATCAATCAATAAACATTTATCAAGTGCCTATTGTGTGTCAGGCCCTATATTAAGTGCTGGGATCCAAAGATTAAAGCAAAATGGTCTCTGGCCTCAAGGGGATCAAATTCTAATGAAGAAGACAACACACACATATGGAGGTATATAAGACAAGTGTAATTCAAATACAAGGTAACCTTGGAAGAGAAGGTCCTGGTAGCTGGGAAGACCAGGAAAAACCTTCTGCAATAGGCAACATTTGAGTGACTCCTGAAGGAAGCCAGAGATTCTAAGAGGTAGAGATATGGAAAGAAAGCATTCAAGGTATGGGGGAGAGCCAATTCAAATGTAGAAAATTGGGAGATGGAGTATTATTTGAGAGGAACTGCAGATAGATCAGTATGGTTGGACAGCAAAGTATGTTTAAGGGAGCGATTTGAGACTAGAAATGTAGAAAGGGGCCAGGTTGTGAAAAGCTTTAAATGTCAAATAGAGAAGTTCATATTTGATCCTGGAGGTAATTGGGGGCCACTGGAGCTTAGTTAGTAGGGGGTGACATGAACAGATCTGTGCTTTAGGAGAATTAATTTGACATAGGCATGGAGGGTGGATTAGGGTGGAGAGAGATTTTAGTCACAGAGACCAATTAGGAGTTTATTGCAATAGTATAGGTGAGAAGTGATGGCCTGAACTGGGGTAGTGACTGTAAGAATAGACAGAAGGGGGCATGAGAGATGAGATGTTGAGATATAGAGACAAGATTTGGCAAGTGATTGGATATGTGGGAGGAGTAAGAGGAGTGATAGCAGGGTTGCAAATCTGGGTGACTGGAATGATGATGATGCTCTCAGAAGTAACAGGGAAATTCAGAAGGGTGGCAAGGGAAAGATAATGACTTCTTTTTTGTATATGTTGAATTTGAGCTACCTAAAGGACATTCAATTTGAAATATATAAATAGGAAGTTGGAGATCTGCAACTGGAGCTCAAGAAAGGGCCTGCCTGGGGTTAGATTGGGGATCATCTGTGTAGAGATGATAATTGAACCCATGGGAACTGATGAGGTTAGTGGAAGAGAGAATATAGAATGAAAAGAAAAGAGGACTCAGGATAGAATCTTAGGTTGCATTCATAGTTAATGGGCATGTTGTTAATGATGACCCAGAATAGGAGACTGAGAAGGAATAGTTGCATAGGTAGAAGAAGCAGGGGCTAACCATATTAAGAGAATCCAAAAGGGAGGGTTGAAGGCAACAGGAAAGGAACCAGTAGGCAAGGAGAGAGAGAATATTGGAGAGAAAGACGGGATGATAGTGGGACCAGTCTATTGGAGAAGATGAGAAGGGATGGGATCAAGCAAACATGTAGAAGGATTGGTCTCGGTAAGAGAAGGGCCACCTCTTCATCAGAGAATCAAGCAAAGGAGGAAATCTCAGGGAATGTAGTTGAGGAATTGTGAGATGAGGAGAGGAAGAGAATTTTGTGGTAAATGTCTTCTATTTTCTCTACAAAATATTAGGAGAGGACCTTGGCTGAAAGAGCTGGGAGATGAAGTGCCATGAGAGACTTAAGGTGAGAAGTCAGGATCTGGAACAATTACTAATAGAAAATCAATTAAGATTGCCTTGATGCAGTAAAGGCCCATTTGAGATTAGGTAACAAGTTTGCAGTGGACTTAATTAATGCAGTTCTGTGACTTCCTTCAATTACATTTAGCAGCACAGGAGTAGGAGGAAATAGATGGAAAGAGTAATAATTCAAGGCACAAGTGGCAATAGGACAAGAGAGCAAGAGTTCAAGAGTAGAAGACATAGGTCTGCATCCCAAAGAGATAAAAAACAAACAAAAAGAAAAAGGACCTATATGTACAAAAATATTTAAAGCAGCTCTTTTTGTGGTGTCAAAGAATTGGAAATTGAGGGGATGTCCATCAACCGGGAAATGGCTGAGCAAGTTGTGGTATATGATTGTGATGGAATACTATTGTATTATAAGAAATGAAGAGCAGGATGCTTTCAGAAAAACCTAGAAAGACTTATAAAAACTGATGCAAAGTAAAGTGACCAGAAACAGGACAACATCATACACAGTAACAGCAATGTTGTACAGATGAGCAGTAGTGAATGACTCAGCTATTCTCAGGAATATAAAAATCGAAGATAATTCCTAAGCACTTATCATGGAAAATGCTATCCACTTCCAGAGGAAGAGCTGATGGAGTCTCTATGTAGAGCAAAGCATTTTAGTTTTTGTTTTTTGGTCTGTATTTTTTTTCCTACAACATGACTAACATGGAAATACGTTTGGCATGACTACACATGTATAACATATACCAAATTGCTTGCCATCTCGGGGGGGGGAGGGAGAGAATTTGGAATTCAAAATTTTAAAAACGGATGTTAAAATAGTTTTTAAATGTAATTGGATTTTTTTTTTAAAAAAAAGAGTAGAAGATAGTATAGATTTGAACTGATTCGAAAAGGGGAGGAGTAACTCAGGGTTTGAGAAGGGGAAAGAGTATAGCCAGAATAGGGTTAATTTGCCTGGGAAACAGCTGAAGGAAAAAGGGATTGGAGGTCACAGTGAGGATAAACCTTGTCTTCACCCTACCTCAAAATTTGATCCTTGAAGATCTCAGCTCTTCCTGAAATGAGCCAAGACTGGTTGACAGGAAGATAGTGAAGCAAGATCTTCTGGTCCTTGTGTTAGGTACTCAGAGCAACAGTGAAGGACCAGCATGACCCTAGGCAATGATGACCTCTGTGAGCAAAGATACCAGAAAACAGTGACTTCAGAGGATGGCAACCCTTTAGGATCATGACCCTGGATGCCAGTGTCCTTCAGGACAGTGACCCCAAGAATATAGTGACCTTTAAGGATGATGAACCTTGGTGACAGTAACACTTAAGACAATGATTCTGCACAATGGTAACTCCAGAGGATGCCTTGCCCCAAGGATGGCAGGATAGAAAACAGGTTAATTCTGTTATATTTCTTTTGTTTTCCTAAGATTAGTACCCGGATCTTATATCCGGTAACTGCTGTTGGCTTAAACCCCAGGATCAGAGGACTCTGAATGAATTCCAGAGCCCTGAAGATTGTGACTGTTTTGAGAATGATCAACCCAGGAGATATTATTTCAAAGGGCCTTACTACTAAAAAACTGGGGTGCTAGTCAACCTTGCCTGAAGTCCCTATGAAGTTAGGCAGATCAAGGTGAACTGCCATTTTGTAGCTGGGCAGTTGTGGCCCATGGATGATGGTAACTTCTGGTACTGGGATTTCAGAACTCATTCAAGGACACTTATCAAACTATGCCAGATGTGGAACTGTCTCCTGTCTAGTGCCACTGCCCCATAGAAAAAATTAGTCAAAGACCACATAAGATAAGCATCTTAAATTCAAAACTTTCTCT